AGCTACCATGATGCAGTGCTCGGGCTTGAGAAGTCAATCACCAAGCTTACACCTTAGGGAGCTCAAACAAAGTTAGTACTGCACAGGAACGAATCAGCGAGAGAGGACAGCAAAGGAGAGTTTAGGTTGGTCGTTGGAAGGTTGTTATGAATGGGTTCATAGACAGAAGAATGATTGCATGCCCAGGCAAGATCCATGAATGATTTGGCTAAACTGTCTTTTGAGTGCTCTATAAACAAGGACATTCAGCTTGGCCAACTGTTCACATTTATGACTATAGAAAGAGGAAAATAAGTCGCTAGTTTATCTGCAAGAGGACAACACCAATTTTAAATGTTTTTTAAATCTGACCAGTTAGACCTCATTCACATTGGGCGTACACATCCATGCGGCGATCCGGGGAGGGACAGGTGCTGTGTGTGATTGCGTGCAGCAGCCTGTTCTACGCCATGGGAGGACGAGGCTGTACGGTGTCATAAGGACACCCGAACTGCACATCCGTGTGGGATCCCTCCTGTCTGCGTCCAAGTGCGGACACCTGTACCCTCACGGATGACACCATACAGCCACATCCTCCCATAGGGAAGAACAGGCTACTGCACGCAATCATGCGCAGCACCTGTCCCTCCTGGGATCGGCTGTTTACGGGCGTACACCCCGCAAGCACGTGTACGCCCATTGTGAATAGGGCCTTAGTCATATCACCATTATTATGACAAAATCCCTCAAAACAACTGAAAATGTCAGGTTTTGACATTCTTATGTTTTTGGGCTTCGGCTGAGATGAAGTCAAAGAGAACACCACAGCTAGTCCTGGCACTGCAAGGACAGGCAGATGACCTGCTGTCTATCAAAGGCTGGGGTGAGACATCTGCTAGTCTTTTACCAGCCTTGGCCTGTCTGAAGCTTTAAAAATAATTGTTGACTTAAGCCTGTCCTCTGAAGCTATAAAAATTGCTGACCTAAAGGGACATGTTCTAAACCTATTCGGAATCTGTTCTCAGCTTTTTAGCTTTAAAATGTAGCCGACTTTACCACAATATACAATTGCTGCTAGAGTCATTGCTAGAATAATACATTTTTATGTAGTGCAGGGGATTTGCATGTGTGTGTTGGAGGGGGATGGGTACCATTAATGGCATCCTTGTCTAAAACCCACTTACATGTTAAACTCTAGTTGGCCGCGCGACTGAATACAAAGGATACTATACAACTCGACACAAAGGATGGACAGTGTACTTGCTTATATACATAGAACTGAACACCCTTACACCAAGCCCGAAAACGTAGATTTTGATTTGTTTAGTGCTATTAAAAGACCAATACATGTCAAATAGTAAATTGCTCTTACGGATTATTTAAATGAGAAGTGAGCTCTGTGTTTGAAAATATAACTTGGTTTTTAGTATCTCATATTCTTATAATCTCCGGAAGATTTCACAATTCTAAACCCTCAGAGGCAGGGCCCTCCTAAACATCTTGTCTTGAATTGTGTCTTCCATTTAATTGTAACGCGATATATAAATCCTGTATAATAATGTTATTAACCCTTGCAGTGGGGCTACCCCTGCAATGCTCATTTTTGACTAGGTTCAAAATCAACAAAGTTATAATCACGCGATCCTCTGAGTCGGCATGCTCTTAGATCTGTCCCTAGAGCCTCTCCCCCCTCCGCTGCAACAGTCTAAGGATCCTGAGTCATCACGTTCTATACAGTGTATAGGATGCGAGGACGTTGAGGGACATATCATAGCTGCAGTGTAGGAGGAGGCAGGCTGGAAGAAACGCTGTAACACCAGCTGACTCTGAGGATTGGGTGAGCATATCTGTTATTTTGGACCTTAGGCAGAAACGAGCACTTAACCCTTGTAGTGCAGGGGTAGCCCCACTGCAAAGGTTGATAAAATTTGTGACCTGGAGTTGTTTTGTAAAAGAACTATGACCCAACCTTTTATTTGCCATAGTTGTCTTTAGGGTCACAGGAGGATATTTACTAATGTCCTCCTAAGACCCAAAACTCAGCATATAGCGGGCTATTGCCCGTTCTATGTTGCCAGCGCAGAGCCGTGCTGCGGCCGGGAAAGATCTCGCCAATATTGTCTGGATCCACCCCACTATCTGACAGCTGGCTCTGCCTCTCTAGAGCCAGAGCCCTCCCCATCTGTCCCACCAGTCTGTACTAGAGGAACGCAGAGGGGAGGCGTGGAATTCCTGCGTGGGAGCGGTACCTGACAGCCAATGCTCTCTATAGGAAGAAGCAGGGCTGTAGCTACCATGGGGCGAGTGAGGTACTCTCCTCAGGTGCAGCTGAGAGGGGGCGCAGCCAGGGCTGGCCTGGCTGCCCCCCCTTTGCCCCTCTTGCCATGGCGAGCACAGGGCGCCATTGGCAACAGGAGCACCAAGCAGCCAACACAGTCGCGGTTCAGCAGGGAGAAGAGGAGCGGCATAGGCTCCAGCTTCTCCTCAGATCCCCGCTGCTCTCCACCACCTGTAAGTGCAGAGGACTCTGTGTCAATCTCTTTTTCTATATTCAAAAGGAAAATGTCAGGGGATCTGTTTAGACCTCTGATATTTCCTTGAAGCCCCCCAACAGTAGAAAAAACGGAAACAAAATGTTTTTCATTAGTTTTGTCAAACGAAACAAATGAATTTTGCCACCAGCGCATGCGCGTCACCATCCTGGAGGCGGGGAGCATGACGTCACATACTGCACATGTCTGTTGGGAGCACAATTTTCTGTTCTTGCCTCGGGCGCAAAAGGAGCTAGCTACGGCTCTGGGGAGAAGATCGGGAACTGAGTGATCAGCAGTATGTAATTGCTCAGTTCTCAATCAATAGAGCCGACGTGTGACAGCTTCAGTCTCGCACGTCGGCTCTAATTATGGGGATGAGTGTATTTCACTCCCCCCATAATTGTTCTTTAACATTATAATTTTCGTTATTGTTATCATTTTCAAATCTGAAACTTTCATAATGGCTCTTCTTTAGACACTTCTGGTATAGGGTGGCAACAATCTATCCCTGCCTCCCAATTGTTCCCCTACTACATTGTCACTCGGTTACGTGCGCACCCTAGTGGAGATTGCAAGCAACATACATTGCACATAAATGATTCATTGTAGTCCCCACCAGGAAACCCACCCTGAGAAAGGCCATGCAGCCATTGCTTGAGTGCATGAAGACACAAAGTGGTTGCGGAAGATGTTAAAATGCAACAAAGGATGCAATCGGTGAAAACAAGTAGTACATTTTTTTTTTTTATTGTGTTTGTTTATGATACACAGTGATTTAGCAAACTGCATTCAGTTAGGGTTTACATCTACTTTAACATGTGCATTGCTTTTGATAGTGTTCTGTTATAATTCCATGCTGTTAGCCTGAAGAACTTAAGTGACCGGGAACTAAATCTATATATGGATATATGGAGATCTATTCTAAATGAAGGTCATTGTAGTCATTAATGGGTCTTTGGAATAGGAGTTAAAGCACAGCCTTGGGTTTGTCTGTGTTCAATTGTGATATTGTTAAAGTGTGTTCAGACCAGAAGCTATCTAGGGATATGGGGGAAGGGTGAGTGTGTGTTCTGCAGAACAAGCTGTCTAGGCTTCACATTAAATGTGTTTAAGGGCAGCATAGTAAATGAATCGATTTGCCACAGTGCAGCTGCTTCAACCTAAAACTGCTTGGCACTTTATATAGTTGTATAAACAATATTTCCATTACAGCTGCCATGTAGCACACGTCTGAGTTTTTGGCTACCAGCGGGTATTTTCAGAGCATGTGCCTTCCTGACAAAATAATTGTGTTATTGCATTTCTGCTGTTCTAAAATATACCATGACTTTATGGGAGGAAATTGCATGCCGTACTTTTGTACCTTCATTTGACCTACATCCATGCCAAGAACGTAGAAAGGGGTCTTGCCAAAGGAATCACATGTCCTATTCTAAATGGCCAACATTATTTTAACTGAGCTTCTGACCTTCCCATCAAGGTTGTGAAAGAAGGGCCTGAAGGTGGAGTATTCCACAGGTGTGTTTTATCCTTACCTTGAAAAATGAAAGATACATTTATACATACCCAATACAATAAAATCAGTAGTATTTTAATAGAAGTGATCTACTAAAAAACAAATATTACAGTATTCCATATTAAGCTGCAGTTTACTTCAATGCTATGATTTGGCTGATGAATAAAAAGTGTGTGATTGTTGTTCCTTCAAATGCCATGTCTGCATTCCAGGTTTATAGAGCAGGTTGTTATGGTCGACAATAGAGATGAGCCTGGGCTTGGTGTGAACCCATTTTGCCTGAATTCACCCAAGCAATCTCAAAACTGGGAATGCCAGTACACCCTCCTGACCCAAGCAATAGCAACAATTGTGGCGGGCATTCCCTGCCCCTTTGTGACGTATAGCTCCGTAGTGGGGAATGCACCTCTCCGCAATTGATTGGGCCCGGAGGAGGGGGTGGAGTCAGTTTTGAACAGGCTTGGACGAACTCAGGCGAACTGGTTTCCCACCAAGCCCAGGGTTATGATTACAATTGTAAATCTGATGCTACGTTTCTGCACATCCTGCCAGTAACGGTACTTCCTGTTGCAGGCTGACAAGGATAGGTCACTGCCTTGCAATTGGTAGCAACATTGTTAGCCTGCTGTGAGCATTCATTCAATTGGCCATTGGGTTGCCTATCAGGTCTGCACTTGCCTCTTACCAAAGACTACCAGTGCTTTAGTTTTAATTGCGCAGAACTACCATACTGTATGATTGCATACATCAAAATATTATGAAGTTTTCAGTGTGCATGTTCTCTTGGTGCTGACTTTTGTACATGGGGAAATGGCTATGAAGAGTATTGGCACTTTGGTGCTGACAAAATGTCCTACTAGACGTCCCAATCTAGAACCATACTCCAGGCTTTAGGGCATAATGACTGT